ATTTGTTGAATAACTCAACTATGACTAGACAGAAATAGATAAAATTTCTTACTGATAATAGATCTCAGCCATATCTATCTATGATAAAAATTTTAGCAAGTTTGCCTTGATTTTTGAGAAGCTACAGCTGTCACAATATGAAAAAATGAAATTCCGTAACGCGCGGCCACGCCCTACTATGAATGTCATCAGCTGTTTTTGATTTTGAACAGACCATATAATTATGATAGTAAAATGGAATTAAACATTGAATGGAGATCACTGATTGTGATGTAAAAGCATTTATAGACAAAAGTTATAAATACAAATAATGATGGTCTAAAAAGAACGGCTCAGAAATATAGATGTTAATGAGCGTCTTCTCTTGACGAACACAGACCGATTCGCCCACGCCACAATCGGAACAAATATCAAATTATCACAACAAGTTATGATACAATCTCCTTAAAAACTAGTTTTGTCTTTAACTGAAAACGTTCTTAGTTCAGCCGAAATCGACGACCCTTGCTCGTGCACTATGAGTATTAGTTTATTCATAACAAAAGAAAAAAACCAGCTAGTACATTCTAATTTCTGACTTCCATTAAAATTCTTCGGAGCTAGATTCAAAGGAAAATTTTAGTTCAACTAAAATCTAACGTTCTGTAAAAATTCCAGACAGAGTACTAAATTAAAAAAATTTCTTTGATCAATAACTTACATCCTCTACAAATTGCAGTAAATATCAAAAACTCTCTGTTATCAGAAACTTGCGTCCTCTACGAATTGCAGTAACTATCTCAGTCTGAAAAGTTTTTATTATAAAAAAAAACTAACGACCTCTACAAATTGCAGCATGCTTCGTAAAAAAAATAAATTTTTATAAAATCTTTTAAAACAATTTACTTTCAATTTTCTTTCACAACAATCGAAATTTTTAAAAGTTAAATATAAATTCTAAGCGTTTTACAAAAAGTTGATAAATTTATCAAATTTGAATCCAACGAAATTTTAAAAATTTTAATTTACTTAAAATTTATTTTCTTTATGTTCGCAAATGAGAGGTAGCCGAAGTGTCCACTAGAAGGAAAAAATATACCTGTGAATCTTTGGTTTGTGATACAGTTTTGATACAGATAGGATGACATTTTGAAAAGCTATGCATATTAGACTTAAGACATTCGTTAGTTTATTTTTCTGCCGCCTTCTACTCGACAGGTACTTTTGCTATTTTAACTCACTCAAAATCAAAATACGAACAGTGTATCTTACAGCGCTTAATAGGTTTGACACAATTGTGCATTCAGACTTGAAGAACAGTCATCTTATTGAGGTTGCAGGATCGAAATATCGAGTCAACTGTATGATCGAGCTTCGAAGTCAGAAACATGCTCACTACAGAAGTCCATAAGATTCTCTGAAAAATTCTGATATGGCCTACTCAGATATTATGTTTCCGCTAAATTCGAGTCCAGTATTACAACGTGATATTGAGGTTCCTCTGAAGGCCTAAAAGTCAAAATGAAGCAGAATAAGGCTTACGAGGAAAGTCGCCCAAGTGATCAATCGCTTTTTTGTAGAACCATACATGACTGTATGCAGTTCACTGCGCTGATTCCGAATATCAGGTCTTAGTGGCCCTTAGCCCTTACTAAATTCTGTGTCGTTACTCTGGACCCCTTTCTGATAAGGGTGTTTCTTATTGAATTCAATCTTTTAATCGGCCTACCATGTAGCACTAGACAAAATATCCACAGCAATACTTTTTTATAGACACCTCAATCTTAAGTTTCCAATACTAAAACGCATTGTATGAAGAAAAAGACTAAATATGCAAGTGTCCCTTTAGGATTAATATTTTTCACATAATGAAAGGATAAAGAAATAATTTTATCTTATGCATTGCATTACATAATTTCGCTCCCTTAGCCGCTTGTATTGGAAATATGCCGCACAGTGCCATTATTGTATGTTTTGAGAAATTAGCATACGAGTTTTCTATTTTTCTTATTGTTGTATACCTTGCTGCGTATAGCACAGTTATGATTGATTTGTAAATGTATGATGAAGAAACGAAAAGAAATATCAGATGACTGTTTGTAGTCAATATACGAATTACTTTGCTGTATTACAGCTTAGTATTTGAAACTTAAGGTTAAGGTCTCTATAAAAAAGCATTGCTGTAGATATTTTGTCTAGTGATACATGGTAGACCGATTAAAAGATTGGATTTAATAAGAAACACCCTTATCAGAAAGGGGTCCAGAGTAACGACACGGAATCCAGAATGGCCTAAGGATCGCTAAGATCCTAATATTCTGGATCAGCGCAGTGAACTACACACAGTCATGTATGTTTCTACGAAAAAGCGATTGATCACTTGGACGACTTTCCTCGTTAGTTAGATTGTAAAAAAATATCATGCCAAGTTTTACTTTATTATGAGCCATACTATCTCAATTTTAAAGCTTTTTGAGATAACGTTCAAAATAGACTTCGAAGCAAAAAACAACAGACCAAGTTTTCATACTCTCAAGTTTTGTGAAGTCTTCTATGTACGTAGATGTTTCACCAAAATATTGGTATAATTAGAACTATGATATAATGTAAAAAGTACGGTTTTGATTATGTTTATTCACATTGGGATCCGGGAGGAAAACCATATATACAATGTTGTAAAGTGAAACAAGTTTTATCTATTGTTATGTAACTCGCTTCTCGCAGTCACAAAATATCCGTGAAAACTTCGAAACTCAATAATAGCTCTAAGCAATTGGCAACAGGATTTGTATTATCTTCCTGTTTCGTTGAATACAAAAATCTAAACCCATTATACGTAGTTTCCTAGATAGTAAAAATATAATCGATGTTCTTGTGGAAGATCTCTTGATTAAATGCATTGACGGTATATTGCTAATTTAAGCTAGTTGCATGAAACGATTTATCGGGCGTTACACTTGAATTACTTTTTGAGGAGTGAAGGGATAGCATGGACTAAAAGATCGCAAAATTACACATATAGATTAAACGGAACATTATATTGTACACAACCTTTAAGGAAACAAATAACAAGACCAGTCGAGAGCTTTTCTTGGAACCTAGAGTAATTGATAACGCATGTACTGAAAATATTACATATAGAGTTGTGATGAATGTATATCCTAGAGGAAGCCGATGTTTAAACTCCCATTGGAAACTAATACAAAAGAGTCTTACACAATTCTGGTACAGAAACGTCCACTACGCTAACTAGAACAATAAATTTGCCACATCAACTAGACACCAACGATACCGAAACCATTACGCTGAGGCGGTCACAGAACGAAAGTCATCTGTTCTTTTTCCTCTTACATTGAAAAGCAGTACAAGAAAGTAAAATGATACATGTATTTTTGTCCTCAATTTTTCAACACTATCGGTTGCTTCAAGTTGTTCCAACTAGCCTTTCTATCAGTTACCTGCAATCCCAAACAATATCGATTCCTAGATGAATCGCTAGATGCAGTGAGTTTCATTGATCAAGAAAGCTAGGACTGTAACAGTTTCATGTCAGCTCAGTTCTCATAAACTAAACTTGTCGACCAAATCATATAGATTGTTGACCAGTTCTTTCGAACTGTGACTATTACAGTCCTAAAGGAAGTAGCTGGTTGCATCCTATGACTTATCGATTGATGTATCTAATTGAGTGTGTAGATACATCACGTCTTAAGCCGTATCTAGACGTCAGGGATGGTAGTCGATGGAGCTGTTTTTACATGTTTAATGCATCTATTTGCGTCAGGTTTTGTATCTAGACATATCGCCCTCTATATGAAGCACAGTTTTCAAATTCATGTCATTTTTAAGGGGAGCTGCAGCAACAATTATTGCTACAAATGAACCACGACGTAAATTAGCACTTGTAATTGGCATTGGTGAATATGAAGATGGTCGAAAACTACCAAATGCAGAAAATGATGCGAATGATATGTCATCCGAGCTGGAAAGGATTGGGTTTATTGTAACAAAAAAAAAGCATTTAACATACATTGAAATGAGACATGTTCTTGTCGATTTTCAAGGCTCCATACAACCAGCAGACATGGTCGTGTTTTATTTTGCCGGGCATGGAACACAGTGGGAAGTATGTACTAAGTTTTTGAATATCAGATCAACTTTCATTTTGCCAAAATGATTTTTGTATATGGTGCTTTTAGAATCAAAATTATCTGATACCAAAAGATAATGTCGGAATTCATGGTGCAGATTTAAAAAAACGTGCGATTAATGCACAAGAAGTTTTGAATGGATTAAATGATCAAGATCCATATATAACAATATTTCTGTTGGACTGTTGTAGAACATATCACGTCCTTAATTCTAATTTAAATCCACGCGGCGAGAATGCAAATAATCCTGAATCAAATGGTCTCAAAGCAATGAACGCTAAAGCTGGATCATTGATAGCATTTGCTTGTGCACCTGGATCAGTAGTAGATGATGGAAAAGACCAAAAAAATGGCTTATTTACGAAACATCTTCTTAAATATATTGGCATTCCTAATGAAGATATTCGGTTGATGTTAGCCGAAGTTACCGATGGGGTGATGGAGGAATCAAAGTCAAATCAGATTCCATTTCTCTGTGCTACATTAAGGCAGAGACATATATGCTTGTGCAATCAAGTTTCAAGTAAGTAGTAATGGTTCAATTCAAATTAGTAAGTAGGGATGCATTGAAATCCAGGGCCATGATTTCAACGATGACTTTTTGGTACTGAGAGTTCATTGATCTGTCATTTTTCTATAACTATTTTGCTCAACTTTTCACTTGCTCTGTGCGAAGCTAGCATTAGATTTCGTCTATTCTAAAAAAGGAAGTTCATACTTGACCAGAACTGGTCGAAATTTATGAGTTTTATACGAAAATTCGAACTATTCCAGCCAATTCTGTGACTTATTTTAAAAATTTCAAGAAATCAAACTCTAACATTGTATACAGCATTCAAATTGCATCACTGCTTGCATAAATCGTTCACAAAAACTTGTAGCTCTGAATTACAGTCCTGCGGGACAAACTTTTCCTGTGTCCCGATCCCGAATGTTCCGTCCTGAAAAATTTTCGGAACAATCCCGATTGTCCCGCGGGACGGGATAAACTGGATTTTTTGGAATTCGGAACTGTCCCGCAGGACTCTACTCTAAATAGTGGAAAAATGTTGTCTTTGACTATGTATGTACCAATTCCAACCAATACCTGAAACTACAATTCAACGGTAACGCATGCGTTGTATTGAGAACTCACAGATTCATGTCAATTTTTCATATGGGTCTTGCTCATTCTTGAATACTTTTTCGATATTATAGCTTGACTTCTTCGACTACTAAAGATAGGTTGCGTAATAGGGTGAAGCTGGTCCAATTTTCTCTTAAAACTCACAAACGAAGAGTGAAAGTCAATGACTGTTGAAATTAGACATCTTCAAAAACTTGATTTCTTCTTTGTGAAACTATCACACAATATGTCCAACAGTGGGTCCTTGTATATAATTAGCCATGTAACACCTAATGGAGCTGCGCACAGGTCGAATTAACCAATGGCTCTCACATGGGCAGGGAAGGAAAAAATTTAGCACACTCTTCATTCTTTTAATTCCTTGTGAAGAACACATCATTGAGAATATCTAAATAGTGATTTCGATTCATCTCAAAGCGGACTACAAGACTAAGGTGTGGACATTTTCCCGAGCACGATTGCTTTAGATTTTATTAGGCAAAAACATTTTCGTCAGCGGTAAAAAGTTTAGTATACTATTGGTGTTTAGCTGTTTTTTTCATTATTTTACGATAGTTAAGAACTTTTTTATGCATCCTTCGATGCAGAATTGAACGAGCTACGTTTTGGTCAAAAGTACTTGTTCTTATATTGGAATGTTAACGAATAACTAATTATTTACTAGTTATGAATAATCAGTGGTAAATTAATGCAATTTTGATTTATTTTCAGCTTCTGTGTATGCCATATGAAAGAGCAGTAAAAACTGAACAAAAATATATTAACGTTATTTCGAAGTGAATCATCTTGACGAGATTTTCAGAGTTTGTACACATTTAACGAAAGAATAGTGCTCATTAGTTTTAATTAATTCAACTATGAAAGGAAGCTTTAAAGTTGTAAAAGTTAATGGATTTGAAGAGCCGCATTTGATCTTTCTAACGACATATTGTTGCTCCCGCTGCAGTCTATCTGCTAAACTTTACGGCGCTTTTAAATTATGCTATGCAAAAACAACAGAAAAATAGCAAGAAATTATGAGTTAAATTGCTTCTGCAAAGTAAAAACGATGCAAAGAGTTTGGCAGATAGACTGCAGCGGGAGCAACAATATGTCGTTAGAAAGATCAAATGCGGCTCTTCAAATCCATTAACTTTTACAACTTTAAAGCTTCCTTTCATAGTTGAATTAATTAAAACTAATGAGCACTATTCTTTCGTTAAATGTGTACAAACTCTGAAAATCTCGTCAAGATGATTCACTTCGAAATAACGTTAATATATTTTTGTTCAGTTTTTACTGCTCTTTCATATGGCATACACAGAAGCTGAAAATAAATCAAAATTGCATTAATTTACCACTGATTATTCATAACTAGTAAATAATTAGTTATTCGTTAACATTCCAATATAAGAACAAGTACTTTTGACCAAAACGTAGCTCGTTCAATTCTGCATCGAAGGATGCATAAAAAAGTTCTTAACTATCGTAAAATAATGAAAAAAACAGCTAAACACCAATAGTATACTAAACTTTTTACCGCTGACGAAAATGTTTTTGCCTAATAAAATCTAAAGCAATCGTGCTCGGGAAAATGTCCACACCTTAGTCTTGTAGTCCGCTTTGAGATGAATCGAAATCACTATTTAGATATTCTCAATGATGTGTTCTTTACAAGGAATTAAAAGGATGAAGAGTGTGCTAAATTTTTTCCTTTATTTTACACTATTTTATTGCTTACGCCCTTGTCTGGTGTTCACATAAAACCGTCAAGAATTGAAGCATGCTAGTACCCTTTCAGATAATCTCGCTAAGGTTCTACATTGGAAATTTCGAATAAAATCGTCAGACTCTTCTGTTTTCGTATCGAGAGCTTGAGCAGGATTAGTATTGGTCTTCTCAGCACTTCGAAAATGTTTATTGGAAGCAAATCTTCTCGCAGGCTTCTCAACGTACAGCTTTCATCCCATCAAAGATTCAACTTTTCAGAGTCTAACAGACCTTAGCAAGAACTTAAATAAGTCCCTGCAAGCACGGATTAAGTAGGATTAGAATGACGATCCTCAAAGATCATTCTAGGGTTTCTCAAAGAATGATGAGCATTAAGAATGGGAAAGTGACATAGATGTAAAAACTGTTACGGAGTCTTGTTTTTCATAGAAAACTGAAAGAAGATTCCCGATTCTTTACTGCGAAAAAACCTTTTCATGGTTTAGCGCATCTTACGGAAATATATTCTGGAACATTTTACGAAGTTGTTTTGACGAAGAAGATTGCCTCATTTGTAGCAGCTTTCCAGAGAGAGGCGGATTTCTTCGACCACGATGACAGTTCCTTCTGTTTTGCGTTCATCGTAGTGAT